GTTGTATTTAGATAATCTTGTGAAAAAAATCCGTCGACATAGACAAACTGTTTGCGATGTTTTAAATAGCTTTTTTAGTACTTTTAAAACATTACCGGTGATATCATCATGTTCAGGTTTTCTAAACAGTATTTCGTGGTCAATTGTGTTGAAAGCCTTTGATAAGACTATAAAGACGCTTAAAGTAAACTCTGAAGTTTCGAATAAATCATTGATACTACGAGTAAGATGATTTATTACATGCTCAGTAGAGTTATTTTATTTTAAACTATATTAATTTATGTAAAGTATAAAATTAACAGAAAGATGATTAGATATATGGTTGAACATAATTCTTTCTAAAATTTTTGAAAAAACAGAGAATAGATATTGGTCGATAATTACTGACATTTGATGGTTCACCTCCTTTTAATAAAGGTGTAATTTTAGCTATTTTCAATTGATCGGGGAATGTTTCTTGATTTATAGAACATTTTAAAAATTTATATTCTCCTTTCATTTAGGGTCTTTTATGAACAATACATCAATTTTTTTTTTTAGTTGTTCTTTAGTTGCATCAAATTTATATTCTTTAAGAAATTCATATTTAATACATTCTCAAAACATTATTTCACATCATTATCTTCTTTTTTATATAATAATAATTCAGGCTGCCTCACTTTTTCTTAATTTTCATAAGTGCCTATAGCTTAATTTTTAACAGTACCTATAGCAGTACCTAATAAAGATATTTCACTGAAAATAGTTTTTAAATTATCAGTGTTTATTTCTTATTTAGGAAGCTTAAAGTTTATATATTTTTTTTGCAACAGAAGCTCAAGAAAAAAAATGGGGTATCTTTGGCCCATTACATTCCCAGGAAAAAAAGTTCTATAAAATTTCTTCAAACTTATGAAACATATGGCCTATAAAAGTTTTATAGAAATTCTATAAAATTTTTATACATTTTACATTTAAAGTTAATTTACATTTTATAGAAATTCTATAGAAATTCTAAATAGTTTAAAAAAAATGTATATTAATTTCAATAGATATTGCTAAAAGTAGAAAAAAGATTTCGTTATCTGTATTTAAAACATAACGCATAAAAAGATTTAAAAATGGTTTAATAACTCAAAATTTTCATCATCAAAATACAAAACATACTGATTAACATTAAAGTAAAGACCAAACAAACATTTTTTAAAAATACGATTGCTAGCCATGATTTATATTTATAAAAATAATTTTCTGAAGATATAATTAACTCAATGACTTTCGAATTGAATTATATAAGTTTAGATGTCGCTGAAAACACTATTAAAAAAGTTGTTATTTGTTCATCTTGCACTTTCATTTTTCGAACTTTTTATATAAGTTTCGTAATATAATCTTATTTAAAACATTATTTTTATACCTTAACATTAATTTAATGCATCTTTTAGTCACTTTTTACTGGGTAGGTCGAAAGTCATTCCTACTCGAGAAGTGAACTTCTAAATCCTCTAAAAGTTACTTTAAAAAACAAATTTTTAATTGCAAGATAAAAATTTTTAACTGTCTCTAGCAGTCTCGTCGTTTAAGGAATAAACTTTTGTTGTTTGAACTAGATGTTATGGTGCAAAATGGGCTAAAGTTACCCTAATATACTATATTTTTAAATTTTCACATTTAAAATAATAGTTCGTACTCTAAAAAACACTGTTGTTTGTTGATAAAAAATATTTTTTTTTTGTTACTATTATTTAACTTTTTCTATGATTATTTAATTTCACTTTTATTCAGTTTACTTTTTAACATTTGTTTTGATACTTTAATTTTATTAAACACGTCGAATCTTCTCATTCAAAATCATTAAGCTGCACACCTATCTGGTTATTTTGTGCGTGTATAAGGTTTCAATTTATACGAGCCGGTGTTGTACATGCGCATACTCACAAGTGTAATTAAGGTTTATATTTTTAATGTTGGTCTTCTAAAACATCATTAAAGTTTATATATAACGATAACATATAACAAGCAAGCAAATACATTAAAACATTATTATAAACATACAAATAACATGTATATCATTAGAAAATAATAATAGAATCATATAATAAAAATATGTATAGATGTTTAGTTAGTTATTATTATATTATTTGACGTTCATATTTATAGCCAAATTGTACCACCATGATCGCATGACATGGTCAACGTATGTTATAATACATATTGAGTTATTATTAATATCATTTTAATGTAAATTATTATTATTATTACTTTTATTGGCTGAATATTATTCGTTACAAAAACATTTCCTCTGCTTTACTTCTTTAATCTCCTGAATAACTATATTCCTCTTGTCATTGCAAATAAACAACTTAGATTATTGTTCATTCATCAAAACTTGAGTCTCACATAAGTATTCTCTGAATTCTTTATTAACTCTTAAAATTTATATTTGTTTAAATTAAAGTTTATTCTTGCCTGCTACTAAAATTGTATTAGTTTTAATTCTGTTTGCAGATTTTAGATAGTTAGAGGGCTCAGGAAAAACTCTAGAATTTGCTTTAAGCCCTCCAACTTTCATCTATTTAATTTATTAGTGTTATTAGGAAAGTTTTTTGATTTTTAAAGTAACAATATTCTCTAATATTTCATCTTGAGCTTAAAATTTTACTCACTGTTTTATTTTAAAGTTGGTATATTCTATTTATACATGGTAGAAATCACGTAGTTGCTTGTTAAAAGCTACGCATAATCATATTGCTTAACGACGACTGTAATTAAAAAATCGACATGAGAGTTTTTATATTTGTATATAGAGAGAGAAGCTTTTTGTGTTGAGTTAGTGAGGTAAAATGTAAACTATAAAAATTATTAGTTTTTTATTAAATTCATGGACGCGGCAATTCAGCAAGCTATTTTGCTTATTATGCCACAAGTAATCGATGGCAACCATTAGCATTTCGTCCGCCAACTACAAATATACATAACTGTAATAGACGTATCCAAATCCAAGCAAAAAACAATATTATTAACGGATGGCATCTTGAAACTAAAACAAATAGCCTGTAATTAACAATATTATTTGTAAATGCAAGATTAACCAAGAGCACCAACGTAGATACCGTAAAAAAATAAGTAAATGGATCAGCTCTTACATACTTGTACCATATAACAAGCTAATAATGGGACCACTTTAAGTATTTATACCGTTGTGCGAGAAAACGAATACAAAAAGATACGTCCAGTAGAAGACGTTCGAACACTTAACAAATTTGTATATTGTCACACAGCAAAGACGTACATTTGTCAAAAGAAACCACGTAACTTGAGAAAAAGAAAAAATGCAGTAACGCCTACCTCCAAATTCATATTGATAAAAAATTTTAGCCATATCAAACGGTGATTATATATGGGAATTGGTATAGTTTTACCAAAAAGTGTTATAGCGTCAATGTGACTCTAATAATAATGATCACAATTTTTCAACACGTTCTCAATTTAAATTTAATTTCAAAGAAAGTATGTGATATAGTTACATTGATGATATATTTGTTGAAGAAAGTGTAGAAACTGCGAAAAACTTAGCGATGCATCTGCATTAGTACGGATTACAATATAAATCTTTACAAAAACTTAAACAAAGACGTGTTTTAGGATTGAGAGTCGAAAGAAATAAAAATAATATGGAAACGGAACAGTGTGGTAAAATTTAAACCTTTAAATGCACTCACACGATCACAGCTTTTCAGCCGTTAGGTAAAATCATGGGAATATACCAGGTGGCGGGAAGTTTTCCTTTACAAACTTTATACATTAAAAGTTTAGATAGAAATATTCATTGTTGTTATTTTATTTTTAAGGATGTTAAAGTAAAACGGAAAGAGTTAGTATAGAAAAAGAGGATCTGGTTGGTAAGAATGTTCGGCTTTTCTATTTATTGGCTGATACCAATAAATAGAAAAGCCGAACTTTGTTGTAATTAACGATAAAAAGAAGAATAAGAACTATAAAAAGAAGTCACTTGCTTACATTTTTTAATCGCTCTGGCAATCTTGCTGCATAACGAGGCAAAATCATTCAATTGTGCTGTAAGTTAGAAGAACTTGTTTCATCCCAAATGTCGATAAACGGAGAAATGCGGACAAAAAATGCGTAAACAAGAAAATCAAGAGTAATAATGTTTAGATAAACCAACTCAAAATAAAAAATGTGTCCAGCTGTCGACACCAGGTAAAGTACAAAAGCAAAATACCTTGAGGTTTGACGTCGTAAATGCAAATTGGTTATATTCACGTCACGTTTCACACCTGCGTCGCCGTACTACAGGCTTATAAAATTCAAACAAATCAGTCAGCAATGTTTTTTTATAGACTAACGCAAAGGGAAGATGTAATAATGCCAAGTTTAAGTTCAAAATGATTCTCAAGAACCTAAAGTACTGCAAATAACGCGCCCGGACAAACAGTAAAGCTCCCGTAAAGATTAGACATATGAGTTAACTCATCAAGAATACCAGGTGATTTTAAAGTTGGTCAGTTCTTATTATATAAGTTAGAAATCACGTAGACGCGTGTTAAATGTCACGCCTAATTTTATTATTTAATGGTGATTGTAACTAAAAGTATTGTCATGGATCTTTTAAACTTTGTACAATTACATTTGTATATATAGATATAAGATTTTTGTGTAAAGTTGCTGAGGTAAAAAAACTATAAAAATATTTTGTTTTTTATTAAATTTATGGATGCAATGATTCAACACTCACTGACAAACAAAACGGATTTTGATGCTCTTTTTTGATACTGATTTCCTGATTTTTACAATATAGAGTATAAAAATTTCTTAGAAAACCATTGTCTTGAACTTTTTTTTGTTTTTTGTTAACTCTCGACCTAATTAATTTGAATTAATATATCTAAAACATAATAGATTTTTACTAAATATTTATGATTTTTAAATGTCTTAAAAAAACTTTAAAAACAATTCAAGGTTAAATATTCGTTGAAGAATGTATAGTACAACTATTTTAGAAAACAATAACTCATGTACCCGTGGTTGGATTAATTATAAAAATTACTGTTATTTGTTCCGAAAAAAAGATGAAAAATTTGATGGAAGTAATTGGAGTGACTCATATTCATTTTGTCGCTCTAAAGGAGGAGATTTGTTAAGTATAGATGATCAAGAAGAAAATTCATTTGTTACAAATATTCTAGAAAGTGAACGAAGTATGAAATACCAGAATTTCTGGATTGGTATGATTCTTGTTTTATTTAGATTTAGTTATTAGGGGGTCATCCATAAAGGACGTCACTATTTTTTAGGCATTTGTTGACCCCTTCCCCTATTTTGTCACCAATTGTGCTTTTTTACTATACCCCTTCCTTAAAAAGGACGTCATATATTGAGCTCCCCCACCCCCTCAATTTTTTAAAAAAATCCTTTTTTAATTTAAGCATTTTATTGACATTTTTTACATGTGAATTACATTTTTCTCTGTTTAAATATCATTCAGGAGCTGATTAGGTATTTCCACGTATGTATTTGCTTCTTTGCCTTTCTAAAAAAGAAAAAAAAATATTTATTATTTTACTCTTATTCTATATATTAAATTTAATCAAAGTGCGTTATGAGAACTTGCCTCACGCATCATCCATCCAAGGAATTACAGCAAACTCTCTTTTGCGCTTGGCGGCAATGCGAACAGGCCTGATTTGCGAAAAAGTAATAGCCATTTGGTTAATAACATTGGAATGAGTAACGCTGACATGCTTTTTGAGCATGACTTGAGAGGCAAAGTACAAGTTACAATGCTTGCAGATTTTCTAAGACAAACTTGATTGCACAGAGGAACAAAACAGATCGTAAGGAGGAAGTTTGAATGATTTCAATTATCGAGGAATGGTGCTCTGAATATTGAAGCGATAAGAAAAAATACAGAAGAAAAAAGGTTCTTACTGGTAACATCTGAAATGGCTACAGCTTTCAAGCCATCTTCTGACTGGCTAATTAAAATAGGTGGAGGTAGAAATCGACCAGGAATAACATGGAAGTAAGAGCTCCTTTTCAAAGCGCAACCTTCGGGATCTTCACATTTCACAATTTGCGTGAAATATTGACTGGTGCGCACATGAGAGGCAAACCAGTCCTGATCCTTTAATAAGAGATGATGAACATCGAGCTTGGTCTTGTTGTCTGGGTCGATATGCTCGGCCACCGTTGGAAACTGATCAATCATCAGACCTGAAAAGACCGAGGCACAGCTATTTCCAGCAAATTTAAAGTTCTGTTTTTCCAAAAGAAGATCCACTGTCCTGCCTTAAATATAAGTCGCAAGGTTTATAATAATTTCTTTAAGCGTTGCATACATTTGTATTTTGATAAAGAGTTGATATTAAAAATGAACTTGAATACCTTTAGAGTCTAGATAAGTTTCATAATGATCATTAGGTAAGATCAATCCCGCCAACTCTTTACTCAGTGGAGCCATCCTTCTTTTGGCTCGATTGAAAGCACTCCGTCCTGGCGCGTTCTAAATGATGAATAAGACATTCAAATCATTTGTAAGTAAATGATGTATTGCTGCAAACAAAATAAATATTTAAATTAAAAGAAACATAATTATATTGATAGATCGCAATAAAAAACTTGAAAAAGAAGGATATATCAATTTCGATGACTTTAGCGTATCGTGGATTTTCATCTGATCCACCATCAACACTGATATCGTGGATTTTCATCTGATCCACCATCAACAACTGGCTTGACCAACTTGGTCAAAGGATCTTTTGTAATGGAATCAAACTCTGGTAGAGTCAAAAGTTGTTCAAAGTCCAATCCGTGAGCATACGCTGTCGATGATGAATGCTTTCTGGAACGAATAGCAACATAAATGGGACCGGAATAGGAAACTGCGTCAGATTTTCCAAGCCTATCTGGTTTGATTGCGATACCTGAGTATACGGACGGGATGAGTTTGTGCTTTGCAGTGATGACCCAATCATGATCAGAAAGAGAAACTCGATATTCCATATGCATCAATATAGGAGCTTGTTTGTTGGCAGCAGTGATTCCAATAGGGATCCAAGCTTTATCATCTTGACTTATAAAGCACACATACTTTGGGCCCAAAAAAGAGCAAACTTCTTCCACATTCTTTATAGTTGCTGTACAAAATGGACCATCCACGTGACTTGAATGGAGGTCATTTTGAGCCCGCATCAACTTGACTGGAACCGTGTGGACGTGTCTCTTTCCTTCAAGCGAATCACTCCGTTTTGGCAGCAAACGAGCACTTCTGCTAAGATGGTAACCTCTCTTTTCGAGCTCGGCATCAAGCTCATCCAACGATTTAAGGCTCTTTAAAAGTAATTTAAAAAAATTATCAGTAAATAGAGTACAGTGTTTAGAGGCTGAAAAGTTATAATGAGACCTAATATAGTCGAATAGAATTTTTTATTAGCTAAAGTTAAATAGGGTACCTATACACTTCAGATTGTATTTTATTGTGGGCAGCAGATCCATGTTCAGCAAGTTGTATGATGACACGCAATATCTCAGATTGTTCTACCTCAATAGTAGAGCGACCGATTCTGTCACGTACTTTAAGAGCTTTTTTCACTTCCGGGTGGTCAGCAAACACCTTCAGTACCAAAAAAACTAAACAAATAATTTTGTTAATGTTTTTAGTTAATGTTCATTTTCTAAAATAATTTTATTGTAACTTATTGTTATATGGTATAAATATTACCTGATTCATGACAGTTTTTTTTCAGCCCTTGATTTTTGTTTTGACTTCATGTTGCCGATCAACTTGTTAAGATTAGTCGTGAGTTCCTGGACATTGGCCTTCTTCTTTTTAAAGGTTTCTTCTTCAGCATTGGTCCATCAGCCATTTCTTTTTCTGCTCTTCATAGCAACTACTTCTTGATTCAAAATAACGATTTCTGCTTTGATTGTGTCTTGAGCATGAGTCTTGGCTTTCTTTGTCTTAATTTGAACTGTGCTTAGACTGTCAGGGCGAGAGACATCTGATGTCGTATCAACGATATCTATTGGCTTAATAAGTTGATCTGTATTAGACTGTAACTCTAAAGCGGAATAACTGGAATGGGAAGGAACAGATCGCTTGGTTGTTTGATTGTCCCAAAATGACAATTAAGAACCTTTTTGTTTCAATACCATTGATGTATACTTTTGGATCAAAGTCTTTACTTGATTCTCCAATTCTTTCTTTTCTTTCTCATTCCAAATTTTATGGACTTTTTTTTGACTCTCGGCTTTTTTCTTAAACTGATGAGCATTATTGTACAATTTTATAAGCGAATTTAGAAGACTATTTTTATCCTTCCTTTGATATACAGACAACAATGTTGTTTGACACTTTTGCCAAACATTAAAAAAATAACAAAAAAGTATGCTCTATGTAATGATTGCTGCATAACCAGTTCCCTTTGGACAACCATTTGTAATATTCGCTTTAGACAATCATAAATAATTGCTACACAAGCAATTCCCTTCAGACAAATATTTGTAAAACTCTATTTAAAAATCATAAATGATATCAATACTATGTCCTTGGGGACGAATTTCGCAAAAAGAACTTAAAGAAACCGTAGCCCGTAACTAGTGATATATGTGATACCAAGTGTTTAGCAATATATAATTAATTGTAATATATTTATATTGTATCACATATATCACAGGTATATAAACTTTATATATAAAAAAATATTATTTAAATAAATATCAACACGAATTTCTTTCTTTTATTACAACGTAACATTTACTTACCATAACTTTAGAAAAACAAATGTTAACATAAAAATACGTAAAATAAAAAAATTCTACAAAGTGACGTCCTTTTCTGAGGATCCCCCCTCCTCTCCCTTGTCCTTCTTTGTCTTTTGAATCTCGACCCCCTCCCCCCCCTATTCGCATGACATCCTTTGTGGATGGTCCTTAGTTTTAGGTGTTAGTTTTAATTAATTAAGTTAATTTAATTTTTTAGACTTATATATAATTTTTTACGTATATAACTGAACAAATTTGTCATATATATATATATATATATATATATATATATATATATATATATATATATATATATATATATATATATATATATATATATATATATATATATATATATATATATATATATATATATATATATATATCAGGGGAAAAACCAGTAATGTCAAATCTTAATAATTTTTATTAACCCTACTCTGCATTAGGTAAGTTAGTGCGTTTTTTAAAAGATGATTATCAACAAAAAAAAAAGTTAGATCGTATTTAAATTTTTATTTGAAAAAAAGGGGTCACAAGCGGTAAACCAGATATGTCCAAGTTGTTCAAGGGGTAAACGGAGATGTCCTCGCGCTTTTTACAACTATTTGCGTAACACCCAATTAAAATTCGTTTTACAAAAAAACAAACATTTTGTTATTGTAAAAATGGCGGATTAATGTCAAAAAAAAAAAAAAAACTTGGTCGAAAGTGTGAACGAGACAGAAATAAACGATTGTTATCGCATACAATGGGTTTTCCGTGTAATTGCAAGCGTTATATGTGTTTTGAGAATACGACAGGGAGTTTTTACTTTCACACTTTAATTAAATGCAAAATAAAGATCAACAAGACAGCTTTCTTGCTTTAACAGTTGAAGTTTTAAGTGTTAAACGAAGAAGACCTCGACAAAATGAAGAAAAAAGATATCTTCATGACTACTCATTCTCTTATAACATCAAAGTGAAACGAGATAATAATACTGTTAGTGTTCCAGTTTGTATCAATGCTATTTTATTAATTTTTGGAAATGGAAATCAAGAATAGAAAGAATAAGAGGATATCTTGCTAAGACTGGTATGTAAACAGAAATTACCATTTATTTATTTAATAGTTACTTATTCAAATAAAATAAATTATGAACAAATGTGTTTAAACAAAGTTTCTCTCTCAAAAATAACAACAGCAAAAAAAATTTTTATATGAACTTAAAAGTTAATAGTTTGCTCAGTAAAGTTAATAAAACATTATAAAGCTTTTATATTTGAATATTTTTTAAGGAGTTGCTCCTAAAAAGCAGCCAGGGATAGGGTTAGCCTTTTCAGACCATATTGCAAATAGTATTATTGATCATATTAAGTCTTTTAAAGGACGAAAAAGTCATTATGCACTACATGACACTAAAAAGCTGTATTTACCAGAGGATCTAAACTTATCAAAAGGGCACGATATGTACAAGGAGTGC